TCCATCATGGGATACATCTCCGGCTCTGTTCCTCTGTTTTTTTCCCGTCAATCCGTTGTTTAATCGTTTCCTTCTTTGTTTAATCGTTTCGATTTGATTCTTTCCATGGTTTCTTGATGATTTAGGGTTTAGGGTCTGTTCCCTTAATTTTAATCTTGAAATCCAAATCTCGGGGAGGGATTTAAAACAGAGGGACGCTCGGCGACGGAATTTTGAAACCGATGAGAAAGTTTTGTAGGGATCCGCTGACCAGACCGAATCACGATTAGTAAGGATGGGTCAGTAACTGTCTTTAATGCAGGTGTGGGCTCCACTTTCTGGTCATAGTTGGGCCCGGATGTGCGTTTCGTTATGGGCAGCTGCAATGTTTGGTGCAGCCTTCTGCACAGCGAATCATCCCATCCTGTGTTTTTTTTAAATTAATTTCACCATAAGGCAGAACCATACGAATTCAAATTTATCAAGAATGTTATTTTGTTCTACAAATATTATTTATTTAGCACAAATAATATAATAATTATTATAAAAATATAATCCGAATTTTGTCCAGTTGATTTGCTTTATGGATTATCATTGTCATATTAATAACGAAATATGAATTATATTAATTACATCATTTAATACATATATTTCAGAGCGCTGCACCAATAAAAATCTCATTTTGCCTCTTGTCATCTCAATTAAGAAACCATCATTTAAATTTATATTGAAACATATGGGGGACAAAATCATTTACTTCCTCATTAAATGGCTTAACTTTTGCAACGGTTCTAAAGCCATTCAACAGTTGCAAGGAGAGCTTTTTTCTGTTTTTTTTTTTTCCCTTCATGGAAGAAATTGAAAAATAAAAACGGAAGATGCTTTTAATTGTTCAGGAGGCGAAGTTAATGGTGTGAAATTGTAATTATGAGTGAGGCAATACAGGACTGCAAGGGCAGAATGCTAAATTTCTACTTTGTTGCATTTTTATACGTTTTTGTTCTTTAGCTTCTTCCTCTCAAGAATGCCTCTATGCAGTTATTGTTTATGTGTAGAGTTCAAAATTAGGGGAATAAATAATAGTTTCTTCAGGAAAGTTGTGTTCTATGAAGTGAAGTCATCATTTTGTCACACAGAAATACAAATTGCTTTATCAGTCTTTCATGAAGGTGCATATGCCAAATAGTGATTCTCTAAGTATATATTTGATAAAGATGATTTTTTTTTTTTACAAAAAAAATAGATCATAGAATCAAACATTGTCTTGGTATTTGAAATTTTAGACTTCATGGGCATGCATGATATAATAGTAAATTTTTAGCACTGTTCATGATGTATTGAAATATGGAATCTGGCCTTTTCTCACGTATAATGAACTGTTTTTCGCAGGAATGGAAGAAAAAATGGCAGGACTGAAGAAGGTATCGCACTGCTGGTGGTTTGAGAGCCATAATTCAGCTAAGCGCTCTTCATGGCTACAATCAACTCTTTCAGGTTTTATGAGCTTTTGTTATGAGCTTTAGAACTTATTTTAAGCTCCCTTTACTGCAAGATGAGATTATGTGTCTGTCTGTTGATTGGCCGTCCAGACGTATAATGCCCAGACCTAAAAGTTTTTCCAATTTTACCCCAAAATTTTATCTTTTTTCCATCACACCTTTCACTTTCTCAAGTTTTATTTCCAGTTATCTGAGACATAATTAGATTTTACTTTTCCTTAAATGTAACAGAACTGGAGAAGAAGACCAAAGCTATACTGAACCTGATTGAAGGAGATGCCGACTCGTTCGCACAGCGCGCAGAGATGTACTACAGGAAAAGGCCGGAGCTGGTGAATTTGATCGAAGATTTCTACCGCTCCTACCGCTACGTTGCTGAGCAGCACGAACTCCTCAGATCCGAAGCAGGAGCCCGACGCACGACGCCGTTGAAGTCTGATTCCTCAAATCAAAGCATTTCTCAGAAGACGTGGGATTCAACAGAGATAGATGATTATCCCGAATCTGAGGTTTCTGAAATCGACAATCCTGAACCGGAAGAAGCCGATCAAATCGATTGCATGTTCGTAGCTGCTAACGAAGAATTCGAAATCATTCGGAGGAATCTAGAAGCAAAATCGCCCGCACCGCCGCTCCTAATCTCTCAAATCCAAACTAAGATCAACTCGCCGGAGGTCCCTGTAAAAATTTACAGCTCGAAGAAGATCATCTCTTATTCTTTTCACGAATCAGAGCATCAAGACGAAATCAAGCTGATGGAGGCAATATCTCCCTCGAATTCCCTTTCCTCAAAGAAGCGGGACAAAGAATCGGATGACTGCAAGGCTGATGAACTGGAAACCAAAGCGCTGTTCGAGAAGATTGTTGACAGCGTGGCTAAGCTGACGAGTGAGGTTGAGAGTCTGAAGACGGAGAAGGAGACTCTGATGGCTGAACTGGAGAGGAAAGATGAGGAGAAGAGGGATGTGATCAGACAGCTCTCATTGACGGTGGAGATTCTGAAGGAAGAGAATGGAGTGCTGAAGAAGTTGATTAAGGATTTGAAGCAATTTGGCAGTGTTTTCGAGCTGAAGAAATGGAAGGAGGCCTTCTCGGGGACGAGGAGATTGTTTGGTCTGGCCTCCCGGTTTCAGCCTTCTCTCGTGGCGCTTTGATGATCCTGGAACTGGAAGTACACACGACTATGGAAGAGTAAATTATTGCATTCAGTATGTTGATTAAGCAGGCAGGACTCTATATATAGTTTGGCATCTTTGTACGCTAATTGGTACTTTCTTTTATTATTATTATTATTATTAGTATTAGATGATCTAACATTCATGCCACATAAGCTAATGAACGTGCCTTAGAAAATATTAATGGGGTGAGCATCATAAGAAAATTTAAATCTTATAACAATAAAAATACCTTTAAGGTTATTATATTCATTTTTAAATTTAGTATATAAAGTTAAAAACTAATTAAAATAATAATTTATTTAGATTTTGATAATATAAATATCATGTTTATGTTAGGTTTTCAATTATAAAAATGTCGACGACAATGCAAGTTAATCAACATCAAGTTGAGTGTTCATATTCTTAAATTATAATATCATTTTGGTATGTCTTCTAAACTAGTTTTATGAGTTGTTATTTATAGTTGATTAATACATTTGATTTCTATTATTAAAATTTATCGGCCATTTCGATGTGAATACTTATAATCTAATATTATGAAATACTTAATGCATTATAGTATTACATGTTGAGTGATATAAAACTATGAATGATATGATTTGCATAGATTGTTTGTATGTGCATAAATGACTATGATAGAACCACTCATTTATAATATTAGTGAGGGAAAGTTAAGGTACTCATGCACTGATATTGAAGAATGATATTGATATATTTTAATTGGCATATTTTTTAGATGGTTTTCATATAACGATCGTTTTGATTTAGTATGATATTGATATGCTATTGATATAGAAAGATTCATTGAATAACATGTTAAATATTTTGATTTATTAAAAAACTTAATTGAAATGCATATCATTTCCACTTTTCACTTGCATTAGTGTAGTTTAGGAATATGGGTATTCACTTACTTATTTAATTTACTATTATCTTTTAAAACTAACTTTTTAGGTTAATTTAATTTATTAATAGATGAACAACAGAAAACAAAACGTTTATAGAATATGTAGATAATTAGTAATGAGGTAAAATTGATTTATCTACTTTAATTTAAATTGATTAGTGACAATTTCATCGTTAAGTTGTAGTTGAATATAGAAAATTTAATTCACACAGTCTAACCCTGCACATGCCTAGGTTAATTTCAAGCACAGGATCGGGTTTTGACAAGAAAAGTCATCTACATGTGTTATTTATTTTAGCAATAACAAATAATGATCTTCTTAATTTAATTTGATAATTATTGCTTTCATAATTACAAGAAAACTCTCGTTTAAGATCTATTTTTAATTTGCAATAAATCATCAGTTAGCGTATCTCCTCTCTTGAACTTAAAAATAAAATCTTCTAAAAGAATTAAACTCTTACCATCATCAAAAGTTATTGTTTTACAGCCACATTACATAGATCTTAAAAGTGTTTATGAAAGGGAGATAAAAAAATGCAATAATGATAAAAGATAATCTTTGTTATTAATGAACTACTTAAATCTTGAATCATGGAATATTTAGATTCAATAAATTATGATTCAAGCTGCGCACATTCCTTTATGAAAAGTAAATGAAGCTTTTTCTTCTAATAAGATTTGTTTGAAAAGCCTTTAGTCATATATAAAGCATTAAAGTTACAATTCTTACAAATATATTTCCAATAAGACCTCTATAAGGATCTTGTTATCTAAACAAAGTTTAATGTTGACTTCAAACATCTTGCTACACCCAAATGTGCTTTCATAAGTCCATTTTAAATAAGAATATCACAAACTTGTTGCTCGATTCTTAATCATCAAATTTTTATAATCTCAAAAATCATTTCACAAACATTATACTATTCATAATCTCGCTTGAATATCAATTGTTAAGAAAGTAACTAGCAAAGCTCGATAGCAAATACGATGTATCGAAAAGCAACAATACAAAATATTAAGCATTACAAAAGAGAGTATTAAAAATTTATGTGAATTGGCTTAATTGAGCTTGCTTTTGTCATTGCACTTTGATTTAATAATCCACTGAGCAAATAAATAAATATATAAAAGCTAAAGAAACTATCTTTTGTACCAAATTCTTAATTTGGCCAAAAGAAAATGCAATCATTTTCTATGAAGATAATGATTAAATATAGGAAAGAGTATGATATTGCTCCAATTATTCTCTTCACCCTTTTAGTATTCGAAATGAAAACTTTTTATAATATGACAAGTATTTATTCTCAAAATAGATTAGAAAATAATTATAATTTTTCTTCTAAAAAAATGAAAAACTTTCATTTACAAACACTCGAAAAAAAGAAATTTCTCGAATAACACAGCTCTTCTCGATTGTCCTCTTATTCTCGTCCTTTCATTACTTCTTATTATGATATGCATGAAATGGTCAATTTCTTTTTTTGTATAGATGCATTAGGAAATAATATTTGTAAATGATTAAGAGTTTGTATGTAATACTTTCAGCTGTTGAAGGAGCTATGAAACTGTTGCAAAAGAAACGGTTGTTCAAAAAAAAATGTGATGGTCATTATAAATTTTTTTATTTTAAGAAAATTAGATCCAATCTTTCTAGCAGCCATCGCAGTTACCCATATTAGATTACAAAACACAACTTCCCACCATAGTATTTTAAAATAAACTAGCAAAACATGATTTTACTAAACGTGCCAAAGTGCATTGTAGGGCACCACATCACCGCCCGATACACACCCTAAATGTGAAGTGAGATTAAATTAAACAACCCCTATCTTGAAAAATCAAATATGAATACATCTTAAGTTGATACCAAGCTACCAACTTTGAATAAAGTGCTAAAATTTTTTATTTTTGATAGCCATTAATTATGAAAACCAAAACCATTACTTATCCAAGATGTTTCAAGGACTTCGTCACTCCACACTTGAAAAAAAATTGTGTCAAACAGACCCTACAACTTGAAATTCATAATTAAACCTCGTACTCTTTTTAATAACCTAAAAAAAACCTTATTTGAACTAAAGCTTAAACAATGCAAACCCCTACCCAATAAAATTACTTATGACCTTGTCATTCACTTTATTGCATGCAACATAAAACAATTTCATCCGGCTTAGCCTCAGTAGAAATTGAGCCATTCTTTTAATTTCAACTCATAATAATAATAATAATAATAATAATAATAATAATACCTTCTTTACAAATCCAGTTCTATCCAATTACACCCCTACCCCATCTTGATAAAACCTATTACAAACAAATCTAATCAACTTAATTGATCAAACCCACCATGTCTTACTTGATTTGTAAGTGGCCATCAAATTATCACAAGTTATGGCAACCATAGATTACTCACAATTTTAATTGAAATAATTAAAATTCAACTATCAATTTAAACAGACTTAATTAGTCATAATATTAATTATTTAAAAAATAATAATTGCTAAATAGTAATTATGATGATACTTTATATTAATCAAGGCATAAATAAACCTTAATTAGTGTTTAGCAAGAGAAGTTCAATATAACATCTCAACCTTCTACAATAATTTTTTAAATTTTAATAAAGATAGAATTTGATCTCAAATTTTGACAATAATATTTTAAAGCTTTTTTACCAAATAAAATAGTCAATACTCACAAATATTTCATTTATGCTGATGATAACAAGTCCAATTCAGCAAAGAAAAATCTCTAAAATGTCTTCAAGAAAAAGGACCAACATATGCTTCACAAATAAAAGGTAAAACTGAAGCTTATCTTTCACCAGAAATGGACCATTGTACTGCCTCCAAACACCACATAAACATAGCATGTTTGTTGAGCAGACACAATCCACTGGTAGCTCCTGTTCCATCCAAATTATCATAATATATTATAATAGGCCCACATTTATGAGGCTCTCCAGTATACTCTTTATAGCAAATAACACTTAACCTTTGCTCCTTTGCAGATTAATTATCTGCATCAGGATCAAAATCTCTAATTTTCACATCAGCATCCTCCCCATATTGTATGCAGTTGTCAATCATTGACAGCACATACTGTAAACTGCAAAAATAAGATTTAAGAAAATTAAAGATAAAATAATAGTTTGACAAAACAAGAGGACAGATGATCAACTTGCAAATTTTTAGCTGTGTTGCTTTAGTTTGTTAACCTTTCAGACTATATTAGTGGAGAATAAAAAGATGAACTTGTAGAGAAAATCAACTGAAAAGGGCTCCTATTTGATTTCATTTTCAGTAAAGATGCAAAAACATTAAAACAGTAATCACATTTCAAAAAGTCCTACAGAACAATGCTGATTTTAGCACTTAAAAATGCAGTACAGCTGTTTTTAATTGCAAATTCTCCCATATTAAAAAAAAAAAAAAAATTAAAATGTGTTTTTGATAGCAAATTCGTAATTATTGTACAGCTATAGAAAGCATTAAAGTCATCAACAATGTCAATATGTTTTTTTATTAAGTCCTTTTGTAAAAAAGCCATTTCTACAAAAATGTCTGTAATGTTTAGTGCCTAACACCCTTAAATAAATTTTAAGAAATTCAGCATCAAACCTGTAGAAAATTCAGTTCATTCAAAACAGACAAGCCCATATTAATAAGAGTAAATCTACATCTCAGTTGAAAATTCAGATAAATGATAATAGAGAAAAAGAATTCAGATTCAAGTGAATTAATGGCATAAAAAAGACATAAATTCACCTGAACCTAACAAAAAAAAAATGCACGGTCCTTTTAAATTGTATTTAAGAATAATGGCATAACCTGAACCTGAAATAACACTTCAAAATTTTACGGTAAGTTCTCAGCTTAAATCTAATATCCATATTCGGAGCCAAAAGAATAGAAAATAAAGCCCAAAACTAGTTTCAATTTGCACCATATCATCAAGGATCATTCATCAGAATAATGTGAAGTCAACATATGTAAATGATTACTTTAAGTGTGGACTATTAGAGTTTAAGGTGCAGGATTTGGCAAAGAAGAGTAACCATGCCTGCTTTCTTTCCTGAGATCAAGTGGCACAAAATTCACCATGCTAAACTCATCAACCTATATAAAACAAAAGAGAAAATGCTACGTTTAGAAAATGAACAGTCAATAAGGTAAGACCATTTACAATGAATGAACAATATAAGCTATAAAAAATTATAAAATTTAACTGCATTTATGTTTTTTCACTTGTGTTATTGTGAGCAGCAGACCTCGGATAGTAGGAAAGTAGTTAATACCGGAGTTAACACAGCTAAGACATTGAAAAAGCTAGAGCAGATATACTATGCCAGTCTGTACCTAATTGTAGAAAAGCCATTCTAGTTACTTTTCAAGAGAGAACACAGAATATTATTCTTACCTGTTAGGCTCAATGTTATTAAGATAGTAGTGTTCAGATAATATTTAGGGGCACTTACATGCATAGCACAAAATTCTAATTTATTTACGTATCTCACAGCTAAACTTTCATGTTAACCACAAAGCACTCAAATCTTTAATATCACAACAATAACAGCACTATTATCACTTTGTAAAATGAAATACACTTTTTCATGTATAGGCTTAAGCAGCAAAGTGCTGTTGTATGTAAATATGAAAGCACTTTTTCATGTATAGGCTTAAGCAGCAAAGTGCTGTTGTATGTAAATATGAAAGTTTAGGTGTAAGATATGTAAATACGTAAGAATTGTGTGCTAGGTATGTAAATTTCCCTAATATAAAAAGGTTTTGATGTGGTGCAGTGGCCCAATCACAGTGTTACGGTAAGCAAATTGCTAGCTCGAACTGAGTTAAATTAAATAGCGCGTATTTCACAATATCAAGATGAGCTCAATCCTGATAACTACAATAAATGGTTCAAAATTGATTATTCTAGATAGCAACACATTTCTTGAGATAGCAAAGAACCAAACGACTTCATTTGACATATAACACTGCAGTATAAACAGCACTACTAATTCAATAACTGATTATCAAAATAAGTTTGCAATAAACTTAAATTCATTTTCAAGAAAATAATATGTTTGTAATGGGAATAACAGTTTGCACATGCATTATGCCACCTCGTACCTACAACTTTAAAACCAAACAAGCAAAATGAAAAAAAAACAAAAAACAAAAAAACAACCGGAAAAAACAATTAAGGTTGTCTCTCATCCCTGTAATCTTTGGCTATATAAATGCACAAGAATACCCCAACCCATACAAAAAACACGCACACACAAGAAACATTAAACACTAAAAATTGCATGTCGACAATAGAGCAGAGACCAGTTTTCTTTTATAGCTCATATAAAGATATTTATTATTCATTATGAAATTGATCATACCCCCATCACAACCACTTTCCATCTTCATATCTCCTTTTTTCCCGCAAATTAAAGGGATAAACCAAATAACATTGACAATATTAAATCAATAAAACACTGACTGTAACAAAATTGGATAACCTACCTCCTCTCTGTCTCTCTCTCTTCTCTATCTCTCTCTCTCCTCCCTCTCTCTCCCTCCCGTGCCAAGGTTGAGATTTGAGTAGATTTAAAACTAATAGGTATGAATTAATATTGCTAAAGGATCAAGTGAGAGTGATAGGTTTAAATATCATCATCCTCATTAGCCTTATATCCACTATTTGGAATATTGATTATAAACATGCTCATTTTTCATTCATCATTCACATATAATTTTGAGAAACTCCTATTTGTATTACCTTAAGCCTACCACTTCTTCTTTCTAATCCTCAGCAACATTTTCCACACTTAATTGTTCTTGTTTGAATTACCCAAGTTTATCTTCAATTATATTTATCCTCAATAAATATCATTCAAATAGTTTATTTAAAATAATCATTTTTAATTTATTATTCATAACTTTGCCACAACCAACATATCTAGTGACTTTTATAGCCAACACTCAAATCTATACAAAATTGAAGGCCCAATTGCAATTTTATTAAATTTACCTTTTAACTCTTCAAGCATCATTCATCACATGATACTCATGGAGCACTTCTTCTTTTGAAACACTTGAATTAAACTCTACAAATTATGTCCTACATATATACACTCATTTTTCTGTATAAAAGATACAAAATACTTAAGCCTACCACGACTAAGTATCATTCTTTTTTCAAATATTGATTAATATTTGTTAATACCTCGCCTCATATTGCAGTCATACATTTGTAGTCCTTGCTCTACTAATTCCAAGTCATGTCACTTTCCCATTATTCAAATTTTTTAAACATTTAAGTTGATGCTTTATCAATTAGAATTTTTATCTAAAAAGAATACACAAAGGCACTTGATTTTTAATAACCTTTTGAACGCATTTCTCCATAACCATTTAAAAAATGTTGTACTAAATTGTGATCCCTAAAGTGAGCCTAATGCCATTGAAAAAACTTTCGTCACTCGATAACTATTTAACAGTAGTTAGTATTCTACATCATACATATTAAAATAATTTCACTATACCTTTAAACCATTCAACCATTTGCTCCAATATAAATTTCATAATGCTTGGTTATATGTCCACTCAAGATAAATAAAAATTATAAAAAAATCATTTTTGTGCTCTATACTTTTCCAATAACCAACTTGACACAAAAATCACTTTCATATATTGGCATGAAATCAAATCAACTATCTAAAACTTAAATAATTTTTCTAAACCTACATTCTATTTGGTCTACATCAATACGTCATTGTATGGCTCATTAATTTGATTCATGTATAACTGGCACAATATTAAATATCTCCTTTACTTTTAAATTTGATGACAAAATGATGCTTCTCCAAAGATTTTAAATCATCTTAGTCTTCAAAATTTTATTGAGCAAACTAGAATCACTCCATAGACACCAAAGTCTCCTTAGATATCTCATCTAAACCTAAAGTATTATCTTAAGACACCTCTTCATAGCTAACTCCACTCCATTATTTTTGGATCTATCTATAATACGCCTCATTCTTTTTTCATTATGTTATTCAAATTACTTTCTTAAAATAATATTTTTATCTATCCATGATGCTTTCATTTTTAAGTAAACACCCTAATATCTTTGCTTCTGCCCCATCTTCTTGATCAAAATTTCTAGAGCATTTATCTTTTATATTACTTATATTCTATGTACCTCATTTTCTAATTTTCTCAGGATCAAGTCTATCATTAAAATCATCAAAGACTCCACCTTTTGCTTTGCTCACTGCACTGCAAAAATTCAAACTTTTTTATAATCATTATTATAAGTCTCAACTTGACGCTCTTTAAAACACGGTTTATTTCTGGAAAATTGACAAGCATACCACACAATTCTTATGTATTTACATATCTAACACCTAAAGTTTGAAATTTACATTTATAACACCTTAATGCTATGAACCTATGCATAAAAAAGTGCACTTGACTTTTAAAATTTAGTAAAAGTGATATTTTTGATGTGATGTTTAAGATTTGAGTGCTATGAATGAATATGTTAAAGTTTAGGTTCTGGATATGTAAATACATAGAAATTGTGGCATGTATGTAGATGTCCATTTTTTAAAAAAAATCTTTTATACTTCCAAATATACCCCATGAACTTTTTATAATACAAACAAATGTGAACTAAAAAGCATGACTGCCGGATCCTAATTTATATTTCGACTTGCAACAGCAAACTAAACAATTTAAAAAAATATATATTTGTGGAATTTATGAGGAACTTTCTTAGAGGACAAACTCTCAACTTTTCCTTAAACTAAGAAAGCAAATAACAAATATATAGAGCTCAGAATAACCCCCATACAATTGGAGGGAAACTCAAATCATCATGATAATAAGGAAAAAAATAAAAAAAGTAATAATGGATAATTAAGGGGGAATAGTTTCTCTCCCTCAAATGTAGCAACAAACCCACGGTCTCCTAAATAGTGGGCAGGCTCATGTGGTCCATGATTATATGCAAATTGACACTTCCCCTCAAGTTGAGTTGTATATATCATACATCACAAACTTGCTACTGAAACACTAAAGTGGTGTCGAGGAAGAGAAGAATATCAACAATCCGATGCAGAGTTAGGATAAAGCTTAGTTGGACAAACTCACCCTTAACTTTCTCAGAGATGAAGTGTTTATCAATCTCTATATGTTTGATTCGATTATGGTGTACCAAATTCTTTGAAATGTTGATGGTTGATTGACTTTCACTAAACATCTTAATAGTGCGTTTTTACTCCATGTGTAATTTCAGCAGTAGTTTACCAAGCCACATTCATTCATAAATTCCTAGGGTCGGGGCACGATACTCAAATTTTACACTACTTGTCAACATAGCTTGCTTTATACTTCTCCAATTCACCAAGCTGTCCCATAAAATTACATGGTAACCCATGGTAGATCTTCTGCAGTCAGTTCTCCTGCTCAACTAGCATCAGTATATATCTCAATGCTACGATTCTCAATTTTTTGAATATCAATCCACGTCCTGGAGTCATCTTTAACTACCTCAAGATTCGAAAGACCACTTCTAAATGATCTTTATTTGGATTGTTCATATGTTGGCCCACTACAACCACAAAAAAAGCAATTCAAGTCATGTATATGACAAATAAATAAGTTCCCCAAAAGTATCTGTTGCCTCCTTTTTTCAGCTGAGATGTCATCCTCCTTTTAATGTTCGTCGATTGGGATCCATAGGAGTATATGTTGGTTTGCACCTCAACGTTCTTATCTCCTTTAATAGGTCAAGGATTTATTTTATCTGGGATATGATAATGTCTTCTTTGGACCTAGCTAGTCCCATTCCTAGAAGTATCTTAAAGTTCTAAGAAATTTTTCTCAAACTCAAAAGTCATTATTCTCTTGATTGTTTCAAGTTACCTTGTGGTATTGCCTGTAAGAATAATGTCATATGCATATGCAATAATGATGGTTATCATACCTTCTTGATTTAATTACATAAACAAAATATAATCAGTTTGACACTAATAGTACACATTAGCAAAAATAGCCTTCGTGAATCTTGCAAATCATACTCTGAGAGATTGTTTTAAGCCATACAATGATTTACTTAGTTT